TCCTCCAGTCTGCACAGAAATCAGCACTGAGTCACAGAACCACATTCAGTCTTCAGTCTTACGAGGAGGAAAATGTTTATCTAAGATCTTTGACAATCTTGTCACCTCCTCCTCCTCCTCCCATCACCTCCACGTACACAACACTGTTATGATTAAGGCAGTGCAGAGGCCCCACCATTCAGATGAGCAAGGCTTTCAGAATAAGACATTCAGTAGTGGAACCACTTTTCTTTGGAAAAACTCGCTCTGAACATCCACATCCTTTAAAGAATTCAGTTTTTCTCCTGAAGGTGCATGTAGCAGGGATGAGCCTCCAAACAACCCTCTTGTGGTCGCTTCCTGCAAGACAGGCTGACACTCCTGAGGCAGGGCTGTGAATTCTAGTTTGAAAACCACTGATGGTAACTCAAGCTTGAGAAAGGTAGGTTGGGCTGGTGGTTTTGGAGGAACTGTGAGTGACCCAGCACGTTTCCTGCTCTCAAAGCCTCCTTCTATTACTTTACTTGAGGGTGCTGTAAAAAGGGTATTTTTTTCTGATTTAAGCACACTCAGTGTCTCAAGTGTCCCCATTTCCAACTGATCAGTCCCCAAACTTGATTTTAACATGCAAGTGTTTAAGTTACTATTTAAGGTGGTCTCACCTTGGAAACACAAATAGAGAAGACAATCTGGTAATATTTGGAAAGGTACCAACTCATCCTGGTGTAAATCTGTTCTTTTGAGCGAAGAATGCTGCAGAATCTTTTTATGAACACTTTCCAGTTCAGCAACCACAAGCTTTTTAGAAAGAACACTCTGGGGAAAAAAAACCAAACCAACAAAACCCACAAAAACTTCTGAATAACTGCTCACCTAAAATACCCAGAAAAAAAATTCTTAAAATACATTTAGTTAAGGTATTTGAGGAGTTTGGACTGTACTTCCCCTAGGAAAGATTTGGCTTTGTTTTAGACCATGGTTCAGTACAGCACTTTAGGTCTGTGCTTCCCTTTAAGCATATGGATTAGATTCACTGATGTCAGTAGGACTTCCCACATTTTAAACTGAGGTACGTGTTCAAATATTTTTCTTTGGGGGCCAACAGATCATTTCCTGTACCCGAGGTTATATAGAACATTCCCCACAAAAAGCACCAAAAAGGAAAAGTAAATCTCTCCCTCAGCACCCTTCTTCCTCTGAGACAGCAAGGGCTCTTTGTGCAGGGGCATCTGGGCAAAAAACAGGCTTCAAAGTGTTTGAGTCAGGCTGAATTTAGCAGTGAACTCTGCCAGCACTCTTGCAGTCTCTCATGCTTAAGAGGAACTTTATCCTCCTGGGCAGCTGCTGAGAATTAGTGCCATTGATTATTGCAAGATTTTGTGTGTGTGTGAGCATCTGCAGTATCAATCTTACCCTGTTTACACACCCCAGTCTGGTGCCTGCCCACTGTGTGGGGCTTCACTGCCTGTACCTCACCTCCCTACAATTAACACTTCCAGCTGTGTATATTTTAAACATCATGAGAAGATACATTTCACTTACGATGACTGATTTTTTTTTTTGGCTGTGGTGTAATGCCATTTGCCATTCTGAGACAAGACGTGCTGTAATGTAATGCACATATATACCTATCTATTTCATTTCCCCAGGTTGAAAAAACCAAGCTGTTTCACAGTTATATGTCTGGAGAAGAAGAAATCATTGCAATCGTCTTGCATGCAACCTAGAAGAAATCTGTGCTGTTTTAAGGACTCTTAGGATAGTGAAATGCAGTGCCTAATTACAAATAATTATTTATTTTCAAAATACTTGGCACAGAAGATGGTACACAATGCAACTTCAGAGTTTTTAACTGGATTTTGTAAACAGTTTTTTGCCAGACAGGCCAGAAGGCTGAAAGGAAAAATTTGAAAAGTTATATGAGAAGTTATTCAACATTTTAAACTGGAGTAAAGTAATTATCAGAGGAAGGTCTGTTCCATCTTTTATACTTTTTATGGAAAATGAATACAGTTTGAGGGGAAGAGCAAAGCCCCAAAGAGTTATACTTTTTTTTTTTGTCCATTTGGACTAAACCACCTGCAGGGATCACTGGAGAACAGTGGATGAGTCCCAGCGTCTCTGTTCTGGTTCAGAAGGCTTCTCTCCACTGTTGCATTTCCCTGCAGCCACTGACTGATATATGTGAACAACTCCAAAGTACAACTTTGACTTCATTTCACTCCAGGTAAGCTCACTGGAGGCAAACCTACAGACCCACCCAGAGTGAGCCTTTGGAAGGCCCTCTGCACTAAAACCAAATAGTCTCACATCACGTCTAGACCTCTGGGTCCCAACATGCACAGTGCTGCTCTGCAGGGGAAGGTACAGCTTCCTCATGGGAAAACTGCCCTGGGGCAGAAGGAACCAATGGAATTCCCCCATGGAATGCCAGAACCCAGGCAGGTTTCAGCCTTCTGGCACATAGAATTGCCCTCTGTGACATCCCTGCTGTGTCACACGCTGCCCAGCCGGGTGGCAGAGGCGCCAGAGCTGCTCTCAGCAGCTGCAGCTGCTGCACAGCCCCGGGGTGGCTGCAGGAGCCCGGCCCAGGATGGAGTTTCTGGGCACCACGCAGCTGGCCAGCTACTGCGGCCCCAGGAAGAACTGCCTGTTCCCAAATCTGGTCGCCAACACCACCACCCCCAAGGACACCTACCAGTCCTGCTGCCCGCCAGTCTCCCGCTCCCTCACCTCCTGGAGGCCTGGCCTGCTTCGCAACGTGGTTTCTCTCCCTCCCAGCCCTGACAAGTCCTTCAGCAGCTGCGGGAGGCTGCCCACCATCCTGCCTGAGCTGCGCTCCAGCCTGCACGCCCGCTACAGCAGCCGCGACTGGCACCACGCAAACATGGTCCAGCTGAAGGGCTCCGAGACCTCCCGGCACTGCGCCGGCAGGATGAACGCCGACTCGAGCAGGATGATGCAAGACAAGGACCAACTGACTCATCAGATGCAAGAGGACAGTAAAAGGAACCTGAAAGAGAGGCTCTCCCACATTGACTTCTGGAGGTCTGAGATCTTCTATGAGCTAGAGCAGCTGCTGAAAGAGACCCAAGCCTTGGAAACGGCAAAGAAGCGGCTCGAATGCGCTGTAGATGAATTGCAAGGACCACTGAAGGTGGGTTTGACACAGACAGTTACTTCATGGCTGCACTGCAGAATGGGCAGATCAAACGGCTTTGTCTCTGCTGAATACTAGTATGACTTACACTGTTCTCATCGAGACAGATCTTGGTGAAACATTACCCTCAGTAAGAGAAACCTGACCACCATGGGCTTTATATATAAAAGCTAACACAGGAACCTGTCAAGACATTTCTATGCCCTCTTTTCCTTCCTTTCTGCTTGAGGGTCCAGGAGGCTGAGTCTCTCTCAGGCACTGGCCCATCAGCTCAGTACGTTACAGAAGAGCAGAAGATGGCCTTGGAAATGGCAAGATCCCATTATTCTTATCTACCTCATTTTTCTGCTATTGCTTGGTGAAAATAATATTTTCATTTAGGATAGCATATAATTGTGTTATATTTTTAAATTCTCCGGAATCTAAAAGACAAATTAATTGCCAACAGAAAGAGCCACAGTAATAGGAGTCAATAAATAATACCAGCAAAAACTCAAAACATGCAAAAATTAGAGTCAAAGTTCTCTTATAAATATCTGGAATACTGCTGATGGAAACTATGTCTGTCATGTTTCTAGGCAAGTCCAAGTAGAAAACCAAAATTCAGTATTCAGAAATTACTTCTTTAGTTGTATCTAGTGATTCAGAATGGCAGGCTGAGGATGCCTTCTATTCAGGGAGCTGAAAGGCTTTGTGCTAGCTAATGCTGTTTCATTGATTAGTATGGTTCTAAACAAGTGGATGAGACATTAAAGTCACCTCTTGGGGCAGGTTAACTGAATTCCCTACTCAGTGACTGTAGTTATGCAGTCATTCTCTTATATAGGTATGAAACTTCCAAACCTTGGCATTGGGTAAGGGAGAATGAAGGGAGATGAGTTAAAAAGAATTTGCTATGGGTGAGTGTAGAACAACACAGGTGTTTTAACCCACACATTTGGCAGAAAAGCTTGGGCATGTTGACATGTAGGCCTTGCTGCACGGTCAATAAGTAGCTAATGATGTGGCAGCTTTGGGGGCAGCTAATCCTTACCAGTATATGTTAACAGGTAGCTAGGAATGGGCCCCTGAGATGGATCAGTTGGGTGCAATGAAAACACCTACTATTCTGCTCCACCCTGAAGAGATGGCCATAACTTGACATATCAGCTCAGTGGCCCCTTCAGTGAGGTTCAAGGTTTCACTCCACACGCAGTCCTGACCCTAGTGGAAATATTCCTTGGTTTGCTTGCAGATAGCTCTGGAATGCTTGTACAACCGTGAGAACCGGAAGGGGATTGACTTAGTTCATGATGATGTGGAAAAGAACCTCATGAAGGTAAGACCAGACTTACTAGTTTATTTTTCAAACCATGGAAATAACTAAAAACCAACTAAATGTTTATCAGGGTAAAAACATTGCAATAATCTATTCCTTTCACATTTGGAAGACTGAGGGGATGAGGGGGAGGAGGAAGACATTTGGAAAAGCTGTACATATTATGGGTGGCTAATGATTCATCCTTCCTGGAGCAAAAGAAATAGCCCAGCATCCTGTTGAGGTCTTGTCCAGTTCTGTTTTTCCTGACCATATAAAACAAGGCACAAACATTTCTCAAGATTGTTTTCTGGGCCATGGTTTATAAAATCTCAGAAGTTCTTAGGGTTTACAATAGAAAATGTTGCCTTGCTATATCCATAGTGTTACTGAACAAAGAAAATGAGATGGATAGTAATGACTGCTGAATCTTTTAAATGAAAAAAATTTAATATTTTGCTACCATATTTGAATGAAGTTTTATTGGATGTGTATGAGAACAAAAATACTAGCAAAGAACATTATGGGACAACAGCATTGCTTCAAGCACTTTTCTGGATACAGAAGGATGTGCTGAGCACTCGGATAATCGGGACGCTTGTTCAGAGCCTACAGCCTGGAACTTGGAGTTTTAGAACTTTAATGAAGAATCAAGAAGCTAATTAACTTCTTTATTTCGCCATTTAATTTAGCGTGAGGCAGGATGAAATACTGCTAAATGTTCCATACGAACAGGCAAAAAACCACATCCTTTCTTGACCTACATTGCATTTGAGATATGTGAGATGGTTTAATCATCTAGAATGCAGAATAAAAAGGGTAAATTCACTTAAACAAATGAAGAGTGATGAAAGCACTGAAACCGTACACTTTCCATTGTAGGAGGTTGATGTTTTCAAGGACTGTCAAGAACTATTGACAAGACTAGCACAGAACATCGGTCAGCAGCTGTGGTAAGACAATCAATCTTGTTTTAAAGAGGAAAGCTGAAATCAGCCTGAGCTGGTGTCTCAACCGACTGAACATAGTAAAAGCAGAGACTGAGCCTGTATGATCTCACTGCCCTCTACTTCTCAATGACAGAATTTGTATTTTAAACCACAGAAGGGTAATACTTGCTATTTAAAGATGACTGAGACTCAATTTTAAAAAAAATGTTTAATCTGAAATCCTTCATTAAAATCAGGGACAGGAAAATTTCAGCTTAGAGTGTGCTGTGTAGCACACTGGAGTGAAGTTCAAAGGTTGTTTTTTTTTTTTAAATTACAAAACTGAATACAAAGTAAACTATTATTGACAAAAGAAACTGGAATCTAATCACATCATAAGGTATGAGATGAGTTCTGAAATGGACTTAAATTGTTTGAACATATATTTGTATATGTTGTTTTGTGTTTTTTTTTTTTACGGGAGGCTTTGGAATGTATTTTATTTCTTTGAGAGTACACAAATAGCCTACTAAATACAAAAGATATCTAAGTCAATCAATTATGTAAAACTTCTGAATACAGTGTTCTGTTAAATACACAGAACTGACAGATTCTGTAAGTCCTGTTGATATGACAGGATATGATTCTCAAAGTACCCACACACAAGGAAGATAAAACTGGACAGTTCTTGATTATAGGAGGAAAAGATTTTTTATAGGAGAAAAAGATTTTTATAGGAGAAAAAGACATAAATAGCTTTTATAAATTATTGCTCTTATTAATGACACTCAGGATTCACACGAGTCAGGTGAGATGAATTTATGCAGTTCATCCCAGTGCTGTAATATCTTTGGTATATGATCAGATAAAAGCTAAGTTCAGATTTGGTGGCATGAACTCTGTCAAGCTCTTTAGACTGGCATTTCTGGTTAGCTTTGATCCAGTTCTGTCACCACAACAGGCAGACCCATAATAATGCCAATTGACAAGTGCATCACAGAAACTGCAATATTTGCAAAAATGTCACTGTGTCTGCTGTCTTCCTGATGCACTGGAAAGCAAGACCTTGATTCTTCCTTCATCCATATTACTCTCATTCTAGCTCAAGCTTTGCCAGGCCTTCCCACCATTTGGGAAAGCCAAAGTATATTAAGTTACTAAAAAAATTCCTTGTGAGTAAGAAAGCAGAGATGGAGCAACATTCTCCCCTCATCAAGATCAAGATGAGCAGATATATTTAAACAGATTTTCTAGTGATGCACAATTTCAGTTATGCTGGGTGAATTTGTCCCCCAGATCAGCAGAGATGGGAAACCACAATTCTGGTCTCTGCTTTCCTTTCTCACTTACAGCTGTACTGGCATGAAGGTTTTAGTGGAAACCCTCCCTTCTGCTCTGAGGATTTCCTTCAGGTTGTTTTCACCATTTTGGGTGTCTGTCATCAAAATGACAAATGTTATTAAATGCAGTAAGTTGAAGACAATTCTTCAGGGAATATTCTCTAGAGGTAGAAGAGATGACTGGACAGCAGCTCCCTCTAGCTAAATCCTGGCACTGGATGTTTTAAAGCCGCTGTAAAAGCCAACAAACTATAAAATGAAGCACTGCAGGCAGCTAGTGAAAGTAAATAGTTATTTAGGTGGTTCAGATTAAGTGAAGTCTTTCCCCTTCACAGCATCAACAGAGATGTCCAGCATGCCCTTGAGCAGGATCTTTCTGACAAAACCTCAGCCCACGTTATTGATGAGAAGTGCTACGACCTGAGGAACACATCAGACAGCATCGCTTTTTACCACGGAATCGAGAAGATCGATGGGACGTGAGTATGAGCAGCTGTGGTGGCCTTGTCTCTAAGTGCTCCCTGCTGGAAGTAGGGGCTGTGGTTACAGCACCGTTCCTAGCCTTATCTCTGAGAAGTGAGATAGAAAGAAGTGACTTCTCTGCCTGCATGGCTCTTTTTCCTTGTGAAACCCTCCATCATCATCATGATCATCCTCAGTTATTCCCTGCCTCCTAACAGCTGGGAGTGTGGGAGGCCAGGCAGGAGCTGGCAGTCTGCAGCACCTCCAGCACGGATCTGCACTGAGCTGGGTGTTTCAGAGAGGACTATAGTTACCAGTTGTGTTGCAGCTGAGTCCTTGCCCTCCAACTCCTTTGTGCAGATGTCTCCCTCTGGTTTTGATTTACACTGTTCCAGACAGTGATTTACAGGTTCCAAACACACATCCAATCAAATAAAAATTCAGCTGAAGTGTGCAGCTAAGTGCATGCAGTCTGGTAAACAGCATGCAAGTGTACAGCAATGACTATATATAGTGGCTGTAAAAACAGCTTGGGTTGTTTGGAAATTAGTCCATCAAGCTATACAGAGATATGGATTAAACAGGATGATCAAGATTTGGCACAGCTCTAGCATAACAGGCTGAACTAAAATGTGCCAATTGTATACAGTTTTAAAACTTCATTACCAGTGGCCTCACCAAGACCTGCATCCAATCCAAAAGCAACAGCAGAACAGCAGCTTGCAATAGAGGGCAGTGTTTATGTGCTAAAGACTTGTTAGTTCCCCTATTGCTCTTCAGCACAGCAGTATTACAATGGTGAATGTACTTCCCAACATCAAATGATAACATTTCTGTCTTGTTGGAAGGAGAAAAAAATCATTATTGTTTGTTTACTTATGTTCTGCTTTTCCTTAAAAGATGACCTCATTCACTACCGAAATGAGGACATATCCAAAGGAAACTTGGCAGGCATTCTGCTGACTCCAGTAAACACTACCTTACTTTTAGGATTAGCATTGAATAAGATTATTCTTGTCAGCTCTAGTAAAAAACAGGCTCATGCGAGCAAGTTTAACAGCCCTTTTTCTTTCTCACCAACCATTATCCAAAGAAATGCCATTTTTCATTAACATTTTCCTGGAACTGTTTGACAGACTGAAACATACCTGCATCTCTTGGGAGCACAGCAGGTGTTTTCTGCCTCAGTAGAGTCAGCCGGATAAATCACAGTTTGAGAAAGCAATGTTATAGAAGAGATTAAGTATGAAGTATTTCAGATAGTCAAGAAGGAAACCTACTTGAAAGGTTAATTTTCTGATGAGAAAATGAATGTAATGCATCAGATCATACAGGGGAAAAAAACCCAACCCAAAACCAAATACCCTGCAGAAAGTACACTGAGGTTGTCTGGATCAGTAGCTGTAAGCACTGTCAGCTCAGGTTTAGTACGCTGATTTAATATGCATTTTACTGTGGTATCAGGTTGGTTACCTGAAACTTTTCAGGACAACTGCTTAAATAATTGTGTAGCACTAAGGAATTCCAAATAATTTAGCTGATCAGTACTTAAGTTTAAAGAGAAATACCCTATGAAAAAATGAAAAAAAGGCCCCTGAGAAAACAAACACTGACAAAACTAACTTCTCCTTTTTGCATCCCTTAATACTTACTCTCAGTGTTCAATTAAAAATATAAAGTGTGAAACTCACAAAACAGTGACCTATCCCTGCAGAGTTTAACATACAGGCCTAATTCTTAGAAAAAAATTCTGTGTGGAGAAAGAAGCTTGTCTCAGCCTTTCAGTTTAGCAAGTATCTGTACCTTTTCATAAAATATACAAAATATTTCTGGGTGAAGAGTATGAAGCAATGCAATAAAGAAAGTAGTGAATTCAACTCCAAAGAGAGTAGCTTATGCTGCAACAGCAGTTTTCAAGCCAGGGGGTCAGGCTGCAGGTTTAGAGCCCTACAGACTCCTGGCTTGGAAGGATGAGTCTGGGATTTACGTTCACCTAATTAGGATAATGGTGGTCATCTTTGATCCTGGGACATGAAGCCAAGCATCCCAAAGTTTGTTTCCATACAGGCAGAAGGAACATTCACAGGTGGCAGTTTGCAGTGCAGGAGCTCTATATTCAGCCTATATATATCTTCATAGGCTTTGCCATAGTAGAGCCATTTCTACTTGTCTTGTAGATATGACCAAATTTAACTGTAATAGCCCTCTAAGTTAAAGCAGAGGTGTTCATTTAATACATGGAGAAATAAGAGGATGGAGATACTTATCCAAATGACACAAAAGGACAATGTTGGGGCTGGAAGAAAATTCCGTTATTCCTTACTCTTAATTCAGTGCCTTATCCATTCCTTCTCATGATGAAGGCTACCAGGAGGTCGGAGCCACATGCTTTATTATGTAAATTGTACATATCTCATGAGGTAGGGCTGCTCTGAAAGCAGATCAGAGCTGTGAAGAGCTGTGTAACCATCCTTCTCCTTTGCTTTCTTGCTCGTTTTCCCTAAACTAGGTTGGGCTCTTATGTTCTCTGGTGGCTGGTGATGCATGAATCAGTTTCCCCAGAATGAATTTGTGTTCACAAAAGTAGATGGCATTGGAATCTAACCTGATGCTGTGCAAGGTACAGGAGATAATGATAAACAATGTAATAATCCATCAAAGCCATAAACACTTTGAAACTTGACATAGAGAAATGGGTAAAATTACAGCTGAAAATCAGCAGGTATGAACTCAGGCCATCACCTAAGCCTGCTAAAGACAGGAAGAAGCTGCACTGCTGACATTCATACCTGATCCTGAAAAAGTTTTTTTCTTAAACAAAAAACATGCTAGAAAAGGTAATTCTTTAGACAGCAAAACATAAACCTACTTACTTCGGAGTTGATGCCACAGCCACTAAGACCTTTAGTAAGCAGCTACGACATTCAAGCAAGCCATAGAAACACTGTCAGAGCAACAGCTCTACAGAAGTCCTTGCTCATTGTTGCCAAATATTTGGTCTATAGAGGAGAAAATAAAAAAGTGGGTATGAAAACTCTAGAATCACCTGGTGTCTGTGACTGCACAGTTTGTACAATTCAATGGATAAACATGTAGTGTAAATCAATGTAACTATCACTGAAACCTCACCTAAGCTTTTACTTTAATTATTTCTCTCTTTAAATTTCTAACTAGTGTTTCAGTTCCTGCAACGTGGGCTAAATTTAGCCAAGACAACATCAGGAACTCTCAACATGCAAGAGCCAACTCAGTCAAGCTCCGAGAGGATGCAGAGGCTGCACTGGAGAACACATCTGAGGAGATGTGGAACCAGTTCATCAGTACCAACCTGGCCTTTAATAAACGTATGGCTGAAGTGGCTGATATGAAGAATAAACTGCAAGCACAACTGGCCAAGGTAAGACTCACAAAGAGTTGGCAGCTGCAGTTTATCTTGGTTGTACCCAAAAGGCATAGAAGTCTTCTCTAGAGCTTAGCATAGGGTAGCACAGGGTTCACATCCAGAATCACAAACTGCATGGTGAGATTTCAAGATATGAACAGGGCTTTTGTCATGGTGTCCAGTTGTCACTCTGGCATAACTGGTTACAACTGGGATATAATGAAAAAAACAATATCTGTGTGCCTATACTGTTGCACCACTAAATAGCAATGATAAGCTACCCAGAGAAACTTGAGTAATCATATTTGTCTAAAGAATAACTAGCATGTATGGTAGACGTGGATTGAAGAAAGCATCAAATAAGATAGCACTCAATGAACTGTGCTGCTCTTACTGCTGAGTTACTGGTTAGCACATACATGGCAGAGACATTTTACTCACCACCAAGTCCACAGTAATGCAGTTACTTCAGAATAACAAACTGCTAGAGGAGAAAACTGTGTATGCTGGTAAAGAATAATTCAGGCTGGTCAGTGTTGTCAATGGAAAGGAAAACATAGTAGGTTTACTGAGCAAAAACATTGCTGGTTAGGATGTGGGTGAGGTTATGGGGTAGAAGTCCTGTTAATTCTCTTGGAGTTTGGTCTGAATCACAATACTGAATAGGCTCCAAATTCAGATCAAGTAATTAAGTCAGCACAAGGGAAGTCTCCAAAGAGCATTGGTTGTCAGTGATTCCCTCTTGCTTTTCTGCCTTCTCAGTCCAGGTGCTGTCTGCTCTGTTACATCACTGATGTATTCAGGAAATTGAGTTCACTTCAGGTTTTCATTGTCTGGTACTTGGCTTCTCCTGCCTGCCACTTCTTCTGGGGAAGCTGGCTGGTGAGGCTGACAACACCAAGTCTACCAGAAGTCTGAGAAGTTATTTGCATAGGGGAACAGTAAAAAGGGATTTAATCTCTGGATAATTTTGAACAGGAAATTATCAAAAACAGAGGGAAATGCTGTCCTTAAATATTTGTTTTATACTTGCCCCATTCACAGTAGAGCTGCTATGTACAATTATTCCCTGCCCACTTTTGCTTGATTTTCTTCTAGAGGAATAAGATAATTTGCCAACTTTACAGTGATAATCAAACTGAGTATGTGGGAGCAAGAGTGTGGTATAAAGCACTTCCTACTGCAAGTCCAAAGACCAGAACTCATCACAGCTGCAAGGATGATTGAAAGAATGGAAAACAAGCAATTGATAGAATAAGTTCCTCAATTTTCTCTTTAGCAGGCTAGAAAAAGTGATGTTAGCAGCACTAGATGACACTGCTTTATTTAGCTTATCAAGATAATAGTTAGGGTAGGGGGCAGAGAATTTGCTAAATCCACAAGGATCTATACAGAAGAAAAAAGAATTATAATTGAAGACTTTTTGCCAGAGCAGACAAAACCAAAAGAATCATTAGTGACCAGACAAAAGCCAGACAAATCTAGATGGGAAACATAAGCAGTTATTTTTCAGAGCAAAATAATTCACCACTGCATCAGCTCACCACAGATTTCTTAGCACCAGGAACTCAAAATCAGGATCACTTCTCCCTGGAAGCTCTAATTCCTCAACAGGCACAGGGTTACCAAGAGGAATTCCTACAGCATAGACTAGTGACATGCAAGCAGTGCAGACAGTGCCTAAATAAGATGCCTTTCTGAACTTAAGATTGAAAATTTCCCATTTATCTTTCTTTCCTAACTGCACAAGTCTCTGAATAATTTATTTTACTCAATTCTGGGATTAATCTGGTCATAACAATGCAAGGTTTATCCAGAATTTGGATAGCAGAACACTGGAAATATGAGGTGCTGGTGGCAGAAGCCCAGAAACCCTAACTAGGTATTTGGCAAGGGTTAGATCACAGACCAAAGAAGGTATTACAGCTCGAGTGTGTTTCATCACTGGGCTCACACTGCATGTGGTCATTTGGGGATACAAATATTCTGCAAGAGTTTAATCACAATGTATGACTCTGGTCAGGCTCAGAGTTACTCTGGGCTGGTGAACAGAAAATATAGTGTACACAATTTAGTGTACACAATTCAGTGTAGAACAGGGTGGTATGTTGTCTTCAGCATGGCTCAAGAAACACTGTTTATGCTAAGGGATGTTATGGTAAATATCTTTTACATCTGGTGTTAAAGTACACAAATCTTTAGGAAAAGAAGCAAAACCTTAAATTATGGAGCCAGCCCCTTGTTAGTATGTTTGCATCTCTTTTCCATGAAGTTAATATTAACATAAATAGTTACCTTGGCTTCAGTCCCCTGGAAATAACCAACAGAGCACGATGTTTATGTACATTAGCTCCAGAAATCGGTCAGAGCAGGCAGCAAGTGGCGTATTTACATAGCCCAGTACCTACTCCATACCTAAACAGCAGATTATCCTTGCTAGTTACAACACCTGCACTGTGCTCAGAGTGTTTCTGTGCCTAGAGGCAGACTGCTCAACACCACCCTTCCTGCAAGCCTTCCACTGCCTTGGAAGCACAGGGATCAGAAAGATGCTAGAAAAGCAGGTATATGTTTAGTAAAACCATGAAAAAAATAACCACCCACTCAGATAAACAAGTAGCCATGACTCTGAGTATTCCCTCTTAGTTCACTCAGCATGTGTGCTTTTAGAAATAGCTCAGTTTCGTGGGGTTTTTTACCCCTGGGGTGTGAAAAGGAGTATAATACATCAATATATGTATCCCTTTCCTTTTTGCCTGGTATAATTTTTACTCTGTGCCTGAAGAGCCTACAGTATTTTGTTTTAGTAAGTTACTCCATCTCTTAATTACTCCCGTAGGAGCCTCCATCCTTCACACATTTTTATTACATTTAAATTTATTTTAAAATTTAAGAGAAAACCTTTCAAGTTTAAATGATGGCTAGAAGAATTAAATACATTTTATAGCTACACAAATCTCTTCTAGTTCAAGAGACGAACCTACTTAATTTTATAAGTAGCATAAAATATAAAAGGAAAGCCTGGAAAACCTCAGTGACAATAAAACCAGAAATTGCCTATGAGCCTCTGAAATAGTTTTCAAGCTTCTTATCTGAGAAGTTCTGAAAGGAGCCCTCCTATGGCTGTTGTAAAAAACACAGCGAGTTCCTCTGAGCAGGAACACAAAGAAATATTAAAATGCTTTGCAAGCAGCTTGCAGGAGAGGGGCAACAGTGCTGTGAGCTGCAGGAAGGAGTATGGGTATAGCAGAGGAGGTACCTTCCCCAGGGCACATGCCCCACAAAGGCTTTCATCTCAGACCCCAACACGCCCTCACATACCTTTAAAATGTATATTTCTGTTGATCACCTTTTTTCCCCTTCCTCTTTTTAAGCCTTAAAATCTCAGTTATTTACAGTTTTTCATACCCTGGGTATACAGTTAATTTCATTTCATACTGGAACCTGTTTGAGAGTGAAGTTTTCAGATGATTAATGAAGAATGACTCAGAAGTGGTTGGAAAGGTGTGTGCTGGTTGGTGTAGGCAGCTCAAACTTGCCTGGAAAAACCTGTTTGAAGGAGGAAATAGTTCTTTAAGCTAGGAATAGACTTTTGCCTACAAACCAAGAGAAATTACTGGTGACAGCTAAGGCAATCACCTGAAAACAAAACCAGATTTCTCTCTCATAAAATTATTGCTTAATCTCATCAAATCATAAAGTCTTGCATAGACAACATCAGAGTATGAACTACAGGCAAGTGGAGAAACCTTGTAGGAGAAGCCTGGCTCCTCAACATGCCATGCAGCAATGCTCCACTCCATGGGTTAGCCTAAGGGGAAGGGCTAGTTATCATCATCAAGTGACAGCCATTGCACATCAGGATGTATTCAGGTTGTCATGAATCCAAGCATCTTTCTGTGAGAAATAACAAAAATGTCTTCCCACGCTGAGGGACACAGCTGCTGAGTAAAAGGCAGCCTGGAGTGAATGGACATGAGACACTGATACAGAGATAACTTCTTTCTGCCACAACATGTATGTGTGAGAAGCTGCAGTGGTTGCTACTCTTGCTGCTCCCTGCCCTCCCATCCATCTGCACTCGGGCAATTCATGCAGGCTTGACAGAACAAACAGCGCCTAGTTCAAGGCAGCAGGGCTCACGTGTATTAATATACCTGTTCCTTGTTCTCAGAAGGAGCTGTCTTGCAGAAAGCAGAGATGGATTTTTGCAGTAGCTTCTCCAGAAAAGAAGCATTTTCAGGCTGCAGGAATCATGAGACAAATGCCTTGCATTGACTCTGAAGTCAGGTTAAATTTAGCTTACGAGACTGGGTTGAGATTTCATTAATGCCTAGAAAGAATCTGGTTCCTGTCAAAAATCATATAGAAGAGTCACTTGAGCCATAGCTGTATCTCTCTGGCACCATCTCTTCCTAGAGACATCTCTCTGTTCAATGGAGGGATACCCCTCTGTTAGATGAGGTAACGAGACAAAACTGAGCATACACATGGCCCAAACTACCTGGTTTTTTTTGGTAATTTTGACCAGGCTTAGCAAAAACATAATAACATAGCATTTTATTTTTCTCTCCTAAATAACAATGCACTCTTGAAAGTATGATAGAGAGTAAAATGGAGAAATAGAACAGAACGTAGAGGCTTATTCTTGGTCTTCAATAGTTAAAAGTGTAGCAAGAAGGTATGCAAAGAGTTAAGCATTTTCTTGTGTATAGTTATGGCTTGCTCTGGTCTTTTGAAAATATTTTAGAAAATCCAGGCCAAGTTAAATGATCCCATGTTTTTCTCCCCCTTTAATTTTAATAAAGCCATTTAAAAATAAACATCTTGCCCGTTTTTAGGACCAGTGGAAAAGTTAAATAGAAACTGATTGCATATAAATATGAAATTGATTGGATTGCTTTCAGAAATTAAAGTAAAAAACCACATTTTGGAATTCAGTGGAAAGAGGATTTTTATAAGATTGTAAGTTATTATCCTGACCAAATGAAAGGCCCAGGGTCCCTAGATCCTGT